AGTGAATCCTCAGCTGAAACTGCAGGCTTCTATAAACCACAGCCCTCAGAATCTAAGAAATGAGAAGTCTGATTCTGGGTTTAAACTTTATCCAGAAAATGTTTCATAGGAGATGACCTCAGCTATTTTGAGGAAGCACTCAAGTGTGCTTTTCCTTTTGCTGTGCCTGTCGCTGCCTGCACCTGTGATTGCCTGGCAGGCCCTCGTGCCCTTTTTGCTCTGAAGAACTCATGGCAGAAATTTAGTATAGCTGCAATATCACAGCTTGTGTATCACATTTTCTCACTGACACTTTTCTTCATCTTTCTGAAAGGGAAACTTCAGATGTGCAGTGTCTTTACTCATTTAATGCTTTTTTGCTGTCTAGCATAAAACAATGAGTTACTGATTTTACTGGAAATAAACATGCAGTAGCTCCTGCACTTTAAAATAGAAGCAGAAATAGAAAATCATTATTTGTGCTTTCAGAGTGCAATCTATCAGAAATCTGTTCTAAAATGTCATGCCTAATTTAAATATGTATGAGCTCCTCTGTTCTGTTCAGATGCACATCTGTAGTTGCTTAAATTTTTAGAAATTTTTAAAAATTAAGCAAATCATATGCAATGGGCAACAATTTCTATGAAATGGTTAGGTATTTGAGGTATCTACAGCTTTTAAGGTGTTAAAGTATTACAGTTGAGAAAACTTAAAAATAAGCTTCCAACAAAAAGAGAGAACAGGGTTATCTGCTGCTGTCACACAGGATTATTATTATTATAAATAGATTCTGTGTTCAGAAAAAATTATTATTATTTACTGTGATTTTTCAGTCTTGCAAAAATATCATATCCAATCATATTTCTTGTTAGACTCCAAATTTCTGTTTGAACTATGGTTTATATGTTTTTATTCTTTGTAAAACTGACATTTGCTGGTTACATTGCCCTCTTTTAATCCATTTGTATATTTAGAAGAGCAGCTACTGGTCAGGGAAAACTTTAGTCCTTCTTTTTCACTTGTCTCAGGGCAGCCTGGGAGTCCAATGCCTCCTACAAAGCTTTGCTTATTTCTGCCTCTGTGGGACTGGATAGCTGAATTCTGAAAACAGGCACATAATGAAGATGCCATTGGGCATACTTCAAAAAGGAGGAATGCTGGGAAGGAGAAAAAGAGCTATAGGGGTTATTTACCATTTGGATTTTCCAGTTGCCACTTCTCCCTTCTTTGAAGGGAGGTGAGGAGTGCTTCATGGTTTCCTCTCTGTGGACAATGTTGGGCTTGTTTCTCTACCTCCACCTATGAGAAGGAGAAAGGTGAACTTTGTATAGAGGACCAAAAATCCATGTTTCATAACTATACTGTAACCTAAATGTGAAAAGAGAACTAGTCCTTAATAAATCTTTGTAGTGGTCAGGAGAGTTTGGAGGTGCAGTGCATAACAGACAATCAGTGGTGGAGCTGTGGGAGCACTTTTGGGGAGAGAGCAATGGTGCTTAACATGTGCTTATTTTGGTAAGAGAAATATCTTCTCTCAGAGGACATGCTGTCCATGTGGGAATCTTTTAGCAATTGGGATTTTTAATGCTGGGATCACAAAGAACAGTGATTGCTAACACTGTGTGTGAAAGAAGTGGTGCCTGAAACTAATAGGCAGGGAGCACTTTCAGGAGGTATAAGAAACAGAGGAGTAACTGGGGGAAGAGGACTGGTGTGAAGGAACAGGAAGGAAAGAGAGGCATTTATCTGTACTTCATAGCTCACACACTCCTTTCTAAGGACAGTTCCATTAAGGATGGAATGTGTTCAGGACACTCAAGTAGCAGAACAGATAGAGAAGTAATTTTTAGATAGAAATACTAGAAAATGGAAGAGGTGATTACTTTCAAATGCTTATTTCTGTGGTGTCTGATGTCTGTTCTTGTCTCAGGAGATGATGCTTTTATAATAAAACTTGCTATCACTTAAAGCTAGAACTGCAGATCATTTTATATTTGACCAGTCTTCAAACAGATTACAGTCCTCATCAGATACCCTCTGGTTTTCTTGTTTCTCTCTCTTTTGTTAATGACTAGTGACTAGATTATCTTGTCTAATTATTTTTTGGACCAAGAAAAAAATATTTTGTTGTTCTGAGAAGCAAACTCTTGTGTTTAGTGTCAGAGTTAGAAATAAGGAAAATAATTAGGCAGAAATTTCCAGCTCTTCCTTCTTTTTCAAAAGCCTTTTTTTTTTGTTCAGCTGGTGTTCTTTTCTATAAATGAAAAAAGTCCATCTTTATTGTTGGCAGCTCTGCACTCCTGGAGGCTTGACTGGGAACTTGTTCTCAAAAGAGATGTTTGAAAGGATGTTACTCCATAGAAAGCTGTATCTCTCATAGCTGTTATGACCATGCTCTTAGATTGAATTTAAAAAATCAGTATAACTTTTAATCATGTCAATTATTTTCATAATTCCAACTCCAAGGCAGCCTTGTGTTTGTAACTGGCCTAATCATACTGCATGGCCATGACTTTGAAGGTGTTTTCCAAGGGAAAGAAACAACTTACCTGGAGAAAGCTTATTAGGCTGGAAGGCAGTGTTCCCAGTGACAACCTCTCCTTGCTGTTTTGCAGCCCCTCCTTGGCGGCCTATTTGGAAACAGCCTCCATGGCTTGAACTAGAGCATTTAGGAAAGGATAGGACTTCTTTCATATGTGGAAATCTGATCAAGAGCAGTAGAAGTGTAAAATGCCAAGCTAGTCATATCTTCCTTTGTTCTTATGTCAGCCAATCCCTAAAATGCCTCATCTTAAGAACACAGAAAACGTCTCATTGAAACCTGTGACTTAAATCTTTCCCAGAGCCAGGCATCCTGCCCAGATCCCTCCATCCTAAACTCTCATAGAAAAAGGATAAAGACCATGAATCCAGAGAGGACTGGGGATTATTGGTCCAACAGACTGTCTCTATTCTCTACCTGGATATGAAGCCACTGTTGACTTAACTCTATGCACTAGAGTGAAGGTTGGAACCCCCAACCTTGCCCTGCTTTATGCTGCTAATTAAATGCCAGAAGGCAACAGTAACTCAAAAAGCTGCACTAGACAGAGAAAGATTAATCCCGTCTGAGTGAACACTTTAGTCATTCATCCATCAGTCTTGCTATGTGCAAATTGAGCCCTAAGTCTTTGGTCTTGCTGTGTAGTTGTTTTCCTTCTTTCACTTACAAATCTCTCTCAATTCCCATGCTACTGAGATTTTAGTTGCTAAGCTTACAACATGTTAGAAAAACACTCTGAATGATACTTGGGCTAGTGAGAAAAGAGAATTTAAAACACTTTTTCTGGTTTGGTACCTCCTTAAAAGGAAGATTTCACAGATGTCATTATTAGTATCTTATAGTCTGAATTTATTTTTTTAGATCAGTCAATGAGCAGCACTTGATCCATGAAGGCATTTTAAAGAGATTGTTTCAGGTTAACCAGCTGTGTTCAGAACTACATGTAGTCCCACAAAAATTAGTAGAGGTTACATTGGCAGTAGGAGATTCAGTGTCCACCTGCTGCAAAGCTGGCAGAGGGCTGGGCAGCTTCGTTCACTGTGTTGATAAAATTTCTGTGGTATGAGCAGGTTTGTCCTAACATTCACCTTATCCCTTCTGGTGGCAAATTCAGCTCTGCACAAAATTATTTCCAGGTGATCATTTTGTTCAGAGAACTCATTGTAAGGGAAGTTTATGTTCAGAATGCAGTGGAGTCAGGCTGCCCTCCTTGTAAGGCCCTACAGGAAGGTAGGGCAGCTGAGAACAACCTTGATTAAATCTTGATTTAATCATCCCTGCAATCCACAGAGGTCTGCTGTTTCATGAAGCAGATGGAAAGACAAAACTGCAAATTGAATGTGAAACTGAGTGCTGATTCTCACTGTAAATTTTTTCTGAATTTATGGCAAATGGGGAGCAGTGGAATAAGAAAATGATGCAATTCTAAGCATTACAGATGGGCTTTTCGGTGGAGGTGCTTCTGTGATTCCTGGTGAGCATCTCTTGGTTACAAAGTGCTTGGTAAGATTTTAACACACTTTCTCTGTTCCTCTGCAGACCTCTACCCCTGCTGAAGACTGATCTTTTTAGAACTGAATTTAAAATATTCCTGCAAGACTTTGCACTTAAAAAACTCTCTTATTCAAAGTAGCAGGGCATTTTATAAGGAGAGAGCAGTAATGAACTGCAGTGTATTACAGGCCCAAGTTTTAAAGGTATTTTAGTTCTGTAGCAATGGAAATGGAAGAACTAGATGCTTTTGAAAATCCCACAAGATGCTTAACTGTGTCTGTAGATGCTTTAATGCATTTGTTCCAAGTGGTTTGCCTAAGGTTCAGTTAGTCACTGCTAGAGAGCTGAAATGGGAAACTTTCTCCTTACTGCTGTAGCCATTAATCTTTTCTTTTCTTTATGAGAAAGTGATAGGAAAATGTAGCTGTTTGTAGCATCCAATGGAGTAGGGGAGAAATAGTAATGATTTAAATGGTAATTCAGCTTTTCTTCTGAGTTGTACACTTCTCCTGGAACCTCATGTTTATAACTGTAATGGATGAAGCTAAACTCCCACTGTTTGTCTCTATAATCACCATGTGGTTAAGCAAAATTACTTGCTAAATTCTTTCTACAGTGTGCTTAAGGGAAGTCTTAGGTAGCAGGTCTTTGAAAGAATTTGATCTCCTCAATGCATTTTGATAGTAAAAAAAGGCTATTAATTTTTTTCTTCTGGTTGATCATAGTTCTTGTTGCAAACTTAATATCTGAGTGTTTAATGTTTCCAAGTCTGCATTCATTTTTCTCTATATCATCTCATTTGCTTACAAAACAGGGTGAGTATGAATTCCAGATGAAATGGAGTTTTTGTGTTTAGAGAAAACAGCAATACAGTTTCTACAAGTAGCTTTTAACAGTTAAATCCTTTAACCCTGTTTTTTCATCATTACTGCATATTGTCATTTTACTGGTTTTCTCATTATATGCATTTGTTTCCATTATCCAGGATGCTGAGAAACTGGATGGTGAAGAGCATGCCTGGAAAGAAGTCAAAGATGCTATAAATGAAGTGAGATACCCAAAATCAAAAGAAGGTATCCTTTCAGTGACAGGCTATAGTCTGTCATTCAGTTGTGAAAAGATCCCATTAGTATGCAGTTCATCTCTTCAGATTAGTTTCCTAACATTTACATTCTTTTTATTGTAATGTTTTTGAATTCATTTGATGTGTAAAATGTGTAAAATTCTTAATTGTATTAATAATGGAGTCTCTCATTACTTGGAATGGAGCTGCTTCATGGCAGGGATAGTAACTACCAAGGACATGAAGGGTTATTTTGGCTCCTATTTGGATTTCTGCTATCACAGCCCACTATTTCGTTTAAAATCCACTTCTAAATGAAAGAAGGCTTAATTTGGGCAAAGTTAAATTCTTTGTTCCGTTACTCTCAGTGTGAATGTTTACAGGTTCTCATTCTTTGCACAGCAATGACAATAACAAGGAAATAATCACAGACAGGTTCACAGCAGACATTATAGCATCATTATAATAAGATATAATAATATATAATAATAATTGGTAATTAAGCAAATTGAATGAAATGATCTTGCACTAATAAACAGAACTGAAGTCTAATGGCTGTCATGTAGATATTCCATCCAATTAAAGAAATTAGTGAACAGCAGCAACCAAGAAAAGATGAGCAGGAGAGGTAGAGATTTTTCCTAGACTACTATGGGTTTATTCATCTCTTTCTTATCTTGGTCTATTTAGTGGAATTTCCCTGACTGGGAATTTGGCCTCTTGTGGCAAGATGCCCTACCACTTTCAGAAACGCGGGCTTTCTCTCAAACTAGAAAGAATTTAATCTTCCAGTACTCCTTTTTGGCAGCATGAAAAACAAGTTTGCATAGTGATATTCCAGGCTGGAAACAAGTGATCACAATTTATACAGTAACAAAAACCCCAATGCATTACACTGAGTTTGTTTCTTTCTAATCCAGAGAGATTAATTTTTTTAGCAAAGGGGAAACAATCATCCACCTTGTTTTAATCTCACATAGTTTCTAGTTTGTTTTAAATTCCTCTGTAGTCACTGGATTGAAACAGAACTGAAATAGTTCTTCAGGGCCCACATTTCAACCTGCATGTTGAATTATAGATATGCAACCCAAAGGTGCAGCGTCAGAATACTGGTCCTATTTAATGTTCCTGTATTAAATTGCAGGAGAAATTGCATTAATGTATTTTGCGAGTGTCTTTAATTAAGATTACTGATTTAACTGATAGTTAAAAATTAATCAAACACATGGTAATAAAGGCATCAGGACTGGCTGGAAAAATCTATTCTTGTTGTCTGTTCAGTTTCTGTTCTCAGTCATGCACTATTTGAAACGTGTCATCTTTCCTTCCACTGCACCACAATAGCAGTGTGAACCGACATGCAGTGGCAAGTGCAGTATTGAAGAGGGAACTTGACTTTTGTTCATTTGCCAATAATGATTAGAAAATCTTCCTGGCAGACTGAGGCACATAGTTATTAGCTCCTGCAAATATCATTTTTTAAACTAATTAAACCAACACTTTCTGCAGTTGAGAAAGTTGGTGACTCTCACACTCGGACCTACTGACTGTAACTGATGTGGTGTTGAAATGCTAAACTTACAGTTAGAGCTGCTTGGGGCAGTCCTCCTCTCCCCGTGGGCTGATGCAGGACATGCAGCTCTTTGGTATTGTTGCAGCTGATGGCAGGTTTTCTAGTTTGCAATTTTACTTGCCTGAAAATTTGGTCCCAAGAGGTTTTGTTGTATAGCACATCTACTATCAGATGCTGGTGAGTGCACAAAGAGAAGTAAAAGCAGACATACTGTGCATCAGCTAAAATGGTAATCTTTCAAGAATGTCAGTGGTTTGCACTTTCTACAAAAATTGTATCAAGTGGAAATAACATCCCTCATTCTTGTGGTTTTTGTCCTTAATCAGTTGTAAAGAATACATGGATGTTTGCCAAAGATATAAAGGTTAAGGTGCAATTTTATAATAACACATTCCTTCCCTTATATGGCTCTTTCAATCCAAGGGCATGAGAGCAATTCACAAATAATTAGTTTAGCCTTGTAACAACCATGCTATAAATCCTGGCCCATGTTGGTCACATTGTTAAATTTAAGTATGTAAATATTCCCATGTTCAAGATGGACTAATTACTTCATCACAGGTTTATCATTGTACACTTTAAATTCATTGCTGGATTAGTGTGAATAGTACTTGCAATAATTTGTGAAGATAACTGCTGGACTTCCTTGAGCTCATTCTGTGGAAAGGGCTATAATACAATCAATGTTATCACTTCTCTTGCTGCAAGTCTAATTTTTTCTTTATTTAATTTCTTCTTATTTGTGTGAGTAGTATCTTTTTGGTGTTAAGACTGCTTGTATTCTGGGACTCCCATGGGTACAATCACAGGTGGTAATACTCATTTGAAAACTGCAAGTTTTGGGGTTCAGATAAGGTGTGGTCAGAGAGAAAAGAATCCAGTCCTCAGAGAAGTCAAATCAGTGTAGATTGTAATAGAAAAAGTGATTTGTGCTAAGGAATATCCAAATCAAGTGAGTGCAAGGTTATCTTTCCTCACAATAGGAGGAGGTTGGTATTCCCACCTCACAAAAAACCTTCTTGTAGCATTGGGGTGAAAATCTCCTTTACTGCTAAGATCATTAGTACTGAACTACAGTCAGACATCAAAACTGTGATTCTTTTCTTTCTCATGCATGAAACGTGCAGCTGTACATGAAAAGAAAAATCACAATGCTCTCCATGAATGTTTCAAGGAGAAAATTAATTCATGTCAAGAAAAGGTTCTAATTTCATGAGAATTCTAAAAAAAAATAATAAATATGAAGCACAAAAGAGTGAGTCATTATATAGATATATATATTATTATTTTTTAAAATTCTTTTTTTAGCTGCTGGGACTTTTTAAAAGACACTTCCATGGACTCTTGCCCTTGGCTTTAATAACTGGAGTATCTTAAGTAAATAATGTTTCAGTACCTAAATAAAAGTTATTTGAATTTTTGTAATGTATTAAAATATCCTTGCAATTTTTCATCTTTCTTTTACCATTTATTGCTAAAATGCTGCCTTCTATAGAGATTGTTTTGCTACATGTAAACAAAGCACAGTTACCTAAGCTGCCACTTCAGCATTTAAGTATGTTTTCAAGAATTGTAGCAGAGTCTGGAATGATGACAGCTTTTCTATTTTAATGCTTTGAAGCTCTTACTCCTTGCTAAACAGCATTTAGAAGTTGTATTTCCATCTGATTAAATAAATTTCTTTAACTAAGGCCAATAACAGAGTGGAAGCATGTTCTGGCAAGGTGCCAGAATCTCTTGAGGAGCCACAAGGGTCATCTCCCAGATACAAATATCTACCAGCTGAAAATGCTTGACTGTGCCATGGATGCCTGTATTAACCTTGAATCCTGGGAAGAAGCATTGTATTATGGCAGCAGGACTCTGGAACCATACAGGTAAGGGATGTAATTGGTTCAGCTGGTTCCAAAGATAGGGGAGAGCTGCTTGTCTCATTAAAAGTGAAGACTGTGCTTCACCTAGATACTTCTTACTGTTTTTATTTCTTGTGTGTATCTTGCATTGCTTTCTAGGTTAGTGAATGAGGCAGGATGCTCATTCTGCTTTCACAGTCAGGCTGAAAGCAAATAAAAGGATAACAGGAACTATAATAATAATAACTTATTATTATCTCCTTGCTTTTTCATGTGTTCAGATGCTGCCCCATCCCTGATCAGAATCTGACTTTCTGTTTCAGGCTCCATTGACATGAGCATATCAGTGTTTTATGCTGAGACAGGGAAAAAGTGAGGGACAGGTGGCTGGTTGAAATAATGTGTATTCTCTGTATACTCTATACATGGATTTTACAGAAAGAATAAAAAAAGTCTTGAAAAATGAAATTTCAGCTGGAAATTAAAAAGCTCCTGGTCTTTATTCTGGAGAGAGATCAAGGTGGTGAAGTACTTGCTTTTCTTCTCTCCTGATCAGTACTTGTTCCTGTGCTATGTGCTGGGAGAGTTTCTGAGGCTGATGGTCTTTTGTTGATAAGGATAGTCTAGGAGTTCATACATAATGTGATAACATTGAAATTGATTGGAGCCTGGAGTTGTAATGCAGCTTTGGTTATCTAATACAGAAAGGGCAGGTGCTTCTGCTTTGGTCAGTGTGCTAAAAGCTTTAGAAGACTCACATCTTTGGGTTCTGAATAGTTGCATTGTTTGTAACTAAATGTAAGCCTGTGCTGAGTGTCCAGGTACAATGTCATTCACACATGAATTTTCATCCTCAGGAAGGTATTTTTTCCAGCATCCATTTCTTCTCTGCTGGTGCACCATGTGATGTTTCAATACACTGTGTGATGCTGACAAGCATGAGGGGTGTGCTAGAGCTGAACAATATGCTCTGCTGTGAATATGAACATTTCAGATGTTACATATTTCCCTTAATCAAATGGAGATGCCATCAGCATTGAGCATTTTGCTGAGGAAATCCCACATGGCAGCCTGTTTCTGAATAAAACTCAGGGCTTCACTTGAGGAACATAGTGTTTCAGAGCTTTCACTAAAAAGTGATCACTGATAAACCTGCATGGGCTGTGGTGCATCACATCTGTGGAGTAGCTCTGTGTTCATAATGACTATTCATTTTCACAGAGGAGGACATGAGAGCCTAAAAATTTTCACATTTCTTCAGGGTGAAATTCATGTTGTGCATGTCCCACTTAACCTTTTACACAGGGCTTATGTAGCACTGCAGCAGTACATGCTTCCTGCCAGTGTTCTACCTTGTGACACACTTCAGATGAGCAGAGTATTCTGCATCTTTACATGTTCCCCTATTAAATAAAAAAACCAAACCTCAGTTGTTTTGGGTTGGTTTTTTTTATAATTGTAAATTCAGTTCTCCACAACTGAAAACTGAGCATTTATTTTCTGCAGACATTTCTGAGAGCAGAGATTACAGTGAGACCAAGTGCAGTCTTAGCAGATAATTTAATAAAGCTTTCTCTGTTTTGCTTGCTGAAGTGTACCATAGTTTTCAAGCTGTTTCATGCAGCAGTTTGGAGATGAAGGATTTGACTGTGCATCCAATTAGCATCTCTTAAGGTAATAATTATTTACATGAGATACTTGACCTTTTTTGCATCTTGGAGAGCTTATTGTTATTCTCTCCTCACCCAAAAGCATTATTTAAGAGAGATTTTCAGTTATTTCTTTTTCTTTTTACCTTCAAGTCATCACTACAAGGTTTGACACACCTGAAACAAAGTCCTTAGTTTCTCATTACAACAAATTGTGCCCTAAGCAGCAGGAGAGCAAATCCTAGGAAATCCTTTGGGATACATTGAATTTCTCCTGTTGAATCAATCTACTGCTTGGCTGCTCCTGCAGTTCCATTATCGCTACCTATTTTCCTTTCCTCAGCTCTGGAAAAAGTATTCATACAGATCTCCACAGGGAATCACCTGAGAATTCATGCAGTCCATATAAATAGGAAATCATTGTTACAACTTTAAAGGCTCTGGAGACTTGGTCAGAACCAGTTTTAATTTCAGGTAATGTGTTTATTGTACATTTTCCATTTTTTTAGCAGCAGGATTAATTTTCAGTGCTGTGTGACACATTGTATCATAATGTATGTTTTCATTATGATGCTTGCTGACTTTTTTAGAATCATCCACTTCATGTAAGTGACAGAGATAGATTGTAATACATAAAACTGATTTGTCATGCTGGATACCAAGCCCAGTGTTTTAGGTAGCAATAATAACCTATAAGGAGCATTGTTCAGGACCCCTGATATAGTTTAGCAAAAAGAAAGGAAGAGGTAGTGTCTGCCAAGACAAAAAGCTGCCTTCTCCTTTTGTGCTGAACTGTAGCTATCCATTTTTTGTGAAAACCTACAACATGTACTTTCACTGAATAGCCTAAGCCAAGTGTATCTACATGGCTTTCCTAGAAAATGCCACATTAATAGCCTGTCTGTCCAAGAGCCTTAACCAAAGCTAAGACATTTGCCTAAGTGAAAGCTGCCCCATGTCATAGTCAGCACTCAGCAGCTTGCAAAAATAAACTTCCTTTCAAAAATCCTCATGAGCCTTAACCACAGAATAACAGAGTATCAGCAAGAGGTGTTACATGGGTTTGTCATGTCTCAGTTAGCACATTCACACTCTGCTCTGGCTGCTGCTCGTGAAGGATCAGATTCAGAGATACTGAGAAAGAGAAAGACAGATTTCCCTTAGGTTACCTTAGAGGAAGGACCCAGCATTTAGCCCTTAAATTACTGACAAGGCACATATGTTCTGGGGATTAGGTTTGGGGTATATTGTCCCCTTGTCTCAAGTATTCAGTGCTTTACACTGCTGCCAGAGAGTGGAAAAATGCATCTGTTATAAAACTCAGCTAGATGTCCTCAGCTATTGTGACAAGGGTAAGAGGAGGAAAAGAAGTAACTATGTGACACCACAGGCCTGCTGGGCTTGCCTGCTGGATAACACCATGTCACCTCTTTGGGCTCATGGCACATGAGGTTGGTGAGATTCTGATACAGAGACAACAAAAATGTTCATCGATTTCTGCTCTGCCCTTCATATAATCCCCTGCTGAATTTCAAGCTAATGTAGAAATCCCACTGCTTTTCAGATGGGTTGTTTTAATTGAAAACCCTTCATCTCCAGTGCTGCAGCATTAGAAGTAACTGGAGGGTTCAATATAACAAGAGAAAATTCCTTCTTTTCATCCCCTGCAGAAGTGCTGTGCAGAAGTGCTGCTCTGGCTCCTCACCCAGCAGCCTTGCACGTCCTTCCCCCTCCAGCCCCCTCCCCTGAGTCAGCACAAATGCAGGGCTTGTGCAATGTGCCTGCTCTGCTTCTGCACTGGGAGGGAGCTGGGTAGGTGCAAGCACCCCGTATTTGTGTTATCTCTGCATCATTTGTCTGCCCTTCTACCTCCTCCTATTCTCCATCCCTTCCAGTAATATTTTGTAGTAGCCCATTACTTCACCTTTTGTCAGTGACTGAGTTCATTTAGGGAACAGGGAAGGCAATCCCAGTGAGTGCAATTTTGGATTGTTCTGCAAAGGGCTGGGTTTAAGAGCAGCGGCTGGTGTGTTCTTGTCTTTTTCTGGGAACATGGTTGAATTTTCATTGGGTTAATGAAATACCAGCCAGGAATTTTTGATTTAGAATTCTAATTCAATATATATGATGGTCTATATTTTCTAAGTATGTGAACTTCAATCAAAAGGCAGATTAAAAATTGGTGGTTGCTATAGTATCCTTTTCTTGAATCATGATCTTGTAAAAAAGCCAAAAGAAGCTATAGAACTTAACATTATTGGAACAAACTCTAAACCTATTTTCTCTTCTTCAAGAAGGATTTCCAATAAAGAGTCTGACTTTCTTTTGGTCTGATTTCCCCCCCTTTTTGAATGCATTTAGAAAAAAAAATCCTTTTTTTTACAGCTATGTGTTTCGCAATACACATGTGATATATGAAATGACTGGAAATCATTCTTTTTTATCAAGTATCTTTGGTTCTTTAGTGAGCTCAACCGACTTCTGTGTACTGGCTAGTTCTGAGGCACTTGAATTGAATTTGTGTTTACATTGAAAGCTAGAGAACCGAAAAATATCCCCAGAACTGCACTGCAGTGATAACCAGGGCCACTGGGGGATGCTCCTGCTTAAGGGTTACAGCCCGGATCCGTCGCCAGTCGGCACCCTGGTTATGGAAGGTCCCCCGGGGCTTCGAGCGTGGCTGCCGGGTTTCTGAACCTAGAGACGGCACTAATTCCGTGACCAAAGTTCAATGTCTTAATCATAAACCATCAGTTGTAAACATAAATCTTACCTCTGGGATCACCCGAGAGGGAGAGAAAAATGTCAAGGTGGAGAAAGCAATTCAAAGGAATAATGAAACAAAGAACAGAAAGAACTAAATCTTCCTTATTCACTTTGCTGGGGGTTTTAGAAAATGCCCATGGCATTTAATGTTTAGAGCAAAATGTGTCAAAAGAAGAGGAAAACCCAGTATAAATAAGAGAGTGTATTGTCTCTGGTTAATAATAGGTAATTCTTCCAAAAGACAGATGTTTGTGGCAATATTTACACCATTTTTGGCTTCAGTGTACCTATTTTGTTCATACACAGGGATAGTGCTTGTCACTGGGCTGATATGTTTGAGAATCCATTAAAACACTTCAGCAGACCACTTATGTCTTCAATTTCTCCCGACTTCCTGCCCTCCACTCCCAACAACCTTCTCCAAAAAATGAGAAAGAGAGGTTTTACACCTGAAGTCTGGTGCCTAAGTTACCTATGACCTGATCAATCCCTTTCCCATGTAGGAAATGGATTTTCTGTTTTGCTGGTTGCTTGCTGTGTATGTCTGCAGAGCATCATCACCTTCAATTCTTTGGTTCTTTCCTAGTTTTGTTTTTCTTGTATGTTTCC